CGCCCACGTGCAGGAGCCCCTCAGAGGTGGGGCGCCCCGGTCACGTTGCACCAAGGGGAGACGGGGGGCAGTGACAGTCCCCCGAATCCAGCCCCTGGGTGGTCTGAAGCGAGGCTGCAGCCCCGGGGCCGGGCTGGGCAGGCCTTGCCAGCTGACCCTCTCTGCTGGCCGTCCTCCCTGTCCTCCGACAGCACATGGACCACTACTCCCGGACCAAAGCCATTGCCGACCAGCTGACCCTCATGGCCAACGGGACGCCTCTCCCAGGTGGGTGTCGTGGGGCCCTGCTCACAGCGGAAGTGTGCGCCCCGCTGCCGGCCCCCAAGGATGCGTGAGTCCAGCTTTCAGCTGACACGTTTCTGAGGCCCACCATCCTGCACAGGGACGGCTCCCCCGGGCCTTCGCCATTCACCGCTCAGCAGGTTCTGAGCACCGGCCAGGTGCCCGCTGCCCACCAGGCATACAGAACCCACTGCTCAGGGTCTGGCGAGGGAGAGGCCAGCTCGGGGTGGACCCTTTGTCCTCCACACAGGAGTAGATCCATGTCAAGGGCCTCCCTAGATGAAGAGTAAGTGGTTACGAACACAGAAGGAGGCACAGCACCCTGGACGGGCTGTGCGAGCGGGCGGCCCCCACGCCGAGCCCCCAGTAACCCCCAGAAGCGCCGGCCTCGCGCCCTCTGCATTGCCGCTCTGGTCACAGAGAAGGGATGGTGCACACAGGCAGGTGGCTGAGCACTGGCGTCAGGCCGAACCGAGCTTGAACCCAGGCTGCCCCCGCTCCCGGCTGTGCCGTCTCGGACGAGGCATCTCCCCCTCCCGGCCTCAGCGTCCTCGTCTATAGGGAAAGGCGGGCAAGAGTGGACTCTGCCTCGGAGAGCCCACGAGAGAATAAAATAATCATGGGTGCCGTTTATAAAAAAGCCTGTGTTTATCAGGTGCTTACCATGCCAGGCCCCATTTTACACGCTGATTTTACAGGCAAAAGTCTTACCACCTCTTCGCGGTATCTGCTTTCCAAACTCGGATAAGTTCAGCCTCATGTCTCGCTATCCCAGTTATCGCTCTGTGCCCTCCGAGATTCAGAAAAGGTCCCCTCATTACCTAAACTCGGAGCCACGTGGATTTAGAAGTTGAGGGATGTTTGAAATTATAACCTCCCCCCGCCCAAATCTATAGGGAAGAAAACTGAGGCTCAGAGGTTGACTGACTTGGGTCAAGGTCACACAGCTATTAGGTGGCAGAGGCAGGATGGGATTTGAATCCCCTACGCCTACCCCCAGGGTCCGACACCGGAGCCTGGGGCCCTAACCATCATGCTACACTGTGGGTCTCTGAGCACGAGCTCTGTCCCCTACGGCCGTCTCCACTTCACCGCATCACCCCGGCCTGTCAGGCCTCTACCCCAAACCCAGGGGAGCTTCCGGCTGTGTCTCCCCAGAGGTCTGACCTGCACCCAGTGGAATTCTCTCCTCTACCTGGGCCTCCCCCTGCTGGACCAGCGGCCTCCATGCCAGACACCTGATCCTCTAGCTGAGAATTATTTATACTCGCACCTCCAGCTTTCCATGGTCAGGGGAGTCACGATGCTCTGGGCCCAGCCCTCCACGACGCGGCTGCCCAGTGTCCCACCGGCCAGCAGTGCTGCAACCCGAGCGTGCCCCGCACCGTGCCCAGGTGACCCGCAGCTTAAAATTAGCTGCAGGCTGTTTAGAGGAAAACTCACCTGACAACCTGCCTTCCACGAGTCCAGCCACGGTCACCCTGGTGATTTCCAGTCCCTGCTCCCCAAGCTGTCACCCAGGATGGAGGGCCCAGGTCCCTGAGGCCGAGTCCTGAGACGTGCAGACCCCAGCTCAGTGGGAACATGCTATGTCCTCCTGTCTCTGGGTATATTAGTGTCCTCGGGCCACCGGGACAAATTACCACAAAGCGACTGAAATTCCTTCTCTCCCAGTTGTCACAGTTCGCAGCCAGGTGTGTGGAACCAGGGTGTCGGCTGAGCTGCACTCCCCGGAGGGTTCTAGGGCAGAATGCGTCCCTGTGTCTTCCAGGGCCTGTGTGTGGCTGCATCTCTACATCCTCTGCCTCCATCTGCATCTGGCCTTCTCTTCCCCATCTGTCTCTTCTCTGTGAGTCTCTCGTGAGGCCCCTCGACCAGGTGGGATTTACGGCCCGCCCAGATAATCCAGGATGACCTCGCTCTGAGATCCTTAATTACAAGGGCAAAGACTCTTTTTTCCAGATCAGGTCATTTCCACAGGTGCTAGGATGGGGACGTATCTTTTTGGGGCCACCACTCCATCCCCTACACTGGGCCTCGTTGTCAAGCGAGGGTGTTAGAGACGGGAACAGTCGGCGTGTTGGGCCATGAGCAGGAGACACCGGCCCGGGCTCATTTATGGGGAAATGGGACTTAGACTAGAAGGATGGGTGTCCAGAAAAACGACCACCGGGACTTAGAAAGGACAGGGTTCGGGCACCTCGGGCGCCCCGGGAAGCCGGAGCTGGTGACCAGTGTCTTGGGTGAACTCACTCCTAGGACTTTAGGTCTTTGTATCAGTGCTGCTGGAGTCACATTGCTGGGTGAGAACATGTCATCAGCCCAGCTCAGGTCCCCTGGCCACCACCTCAGGAGAGAGTGGCACTTCTAGACTGACAGGCCTCATGCAGGGGGGAGGGGGTCCCCAAAGAAAGGTGGGGTTCTGGTCCTGGAGTGTGGTCTACCCTGGGCTTCCCGAACTGGGGGGTGCAGCTGCTGGGGTTTCCCCACGTAGAACATCTTCCAGGAGGCTCCACCCCAGTTAAGGAGTTGGGTTGGCAGTCAAATAATTTACAAATGAGTAATTAAAGCTCTTTTAAAATCTTAAACACAAATGGATTATGGGAGTAAACCAAAAATTTTGTAGGTTTTCTTAAGACTTGAAAGAAATACATTTGTGCCAGCCCTTCCGGCTGTACCCCCAGACTTCCCCAAGGGAGACACACTCACCACTCTGCCAGTGGGGCCCCCCTGGCAGAGGATTGGGAAGCCCTGGACCAAGCCCTATCTTGGTCTGGGGGACCATGCTGGCACAGGACAGGGAGAGTTAGGGGCACAGACCCCCAGACTCTTGTTCCCATGGCTTGCCCTTTCTTCACTGTCTGGAAGTGTAGCCGCTCCCACCACCGACAAAGCAGCCATCATCCAGGTAAGGGGACCAAGGCTGAGGAGCTGGAAGACGGGGTCACCTTGTTAGTGTCCCCGAGAGGCGGGGTGTTAGTGGACAGAGCCTGGGCCTTGGTCCCCCATCTCAGCAACACTGCCCTGAGCTGTGTGCCCTTAGGCAAGTCTCATCCCTTATCTGAGCCTGGGTCCCCTTCCCCTTAGAGCAGGAATAGTAACAGCTCTCTATTCCCAGTCGCCTTGAAGGGGGACACCTGTGAGCACCAGACACCTGGTCGGACCTCTGTTGGAGCAATCGCAGTCCTCACATAACTGATGATGGGGAAGCGGATGGCCCTGACCGCCCTCCCTGTGTCCTAGGAGGAGGCACTCTGCGGACCTGTGTGCTCCGGCCCCCAGGGATCTACGGCCCCGAAGAGCAGAGGCACCTGCCCCGCGTGGCGGTAGGTCACCGGCCCTGCGTGGCGGGTACACCGTCCTGCCCCCGCGCAGGCGCAGGAGGAGGAGGTCTGGGGGGAGGGGTCAGGGGCGGGGCCTCCAGTCCCCAGTCACCGCATCACTCCGGGGGGCCGTGTCCCCAGCCGCGGCCCTCGGTTCCAGTTCCAGGAGGCGCCCGCGCCCCATCAGGCCCACCGTGTGTCCCGGGCCCCGGCGGGGGTGGGGAGACGTGGAGCATGGCCCCACAGAGGCAGAGGCGAGTCTCCTGTCTCCACTCAGATATGGGCTCCCCGAGGTCTGGGTGGCTCATCCATGCCCCCAGCCCAGGGTCTTCATGCAGGAAGCCTTCTGCAGAGAAAGCCAGGCACCGGAAATATGCCTCCCCGAGGCGCTAGGCCCTGTCCTCGATCCCTCCCAGCCCGGCCGGGGAGACAGATGCCACAGCCGCAGACGCAGGGTGGTGAGGGCTGGTAGAGGGGAGAGCGGACAGGGCCTGGCAGGGGAGGTCCCGGAGGGCTTCCTGGAGGAAGTGACGCCCGTGCTGTTTGGAAAGAGAAGAAGGAACTAGCCAGGAAATGGGGTGGTCGAGAGAAGGTGTTCCAAACAGAGGAGACAGCGTGGGCACAAACGTGCCGGTGAGACAGGTCGCCGTCCTCAGCTTGGGGACAGATCAGTGACAGAACAGACGACGGTTCCTGCCCTTGTGGGGCTTGGATTCTCGCTCAGGGAGGTAGGTAGTAAACGTGACCCATGATGAGGAGAGGTCGAAGGTGCCAGGTCTGGGGTGGCAGCGTGAGGGGCCCGGGGGGCGCCCACTGTCAGCGGAGCCTCGGGGAGCGGGGGCGTTTGGGCCAGGTCTGGGGTGGCAGCGTGAGGGGCCCGGGGGTGCTCACTGTCAGTGGAGCCTCCAGGAGCGGAGGCGTTTGAGCATCAGCCTGAAGGGGTGACCGAGGGCATCGCACAGGGTCTCAGGAGGAGCCCTCCAGGCAGAGGGGACAGCTCGTCCAACAGCTGAGGTCCAGGGGAGGCCGCGGGGCTGGAGCGAGGCGGGCGAGGGGTTTGTAGTAGGAGGGAGGCCGTGTCCACGTGGCAAGGGTCCCCGGGCCGTGGTCAGGCGGCAGCAGGGGACCCATGAGGTGGCTCTGTGGGGATGCAGGTGACAAAAGAGGGGGCAGGCGGGGCGAGAGAGGTGGTCAACGCTGGGCAGACTGCAGGTTGGGCCAAGCAGACCTGCAGGTGAGCTGGCACAGGTGCGAGAGGAGGGCGGGCAGAGGTGGCCCCGGCTGGCGCTGTCACGAGATGGGAGGGAGGCGGGAGCGTGCCGTCCGCAAGTCGCCAGTTCCGGCCGGGACAGCGGGGACCGGCCGGAGCCGTCAGTCAGCCCGTCAGCATAGACGCCGAGTTCAAAGCCGCTCCGCTGACGGCGCCTCCCCCTCCCCAGGGCCACATCAGGAAGAGGCTGTTCCTGTTCCGATTCGGGGACCGCGGGACGCGGATGAACTGGGTCCACGTGCGCAATCTGGTGCAGGCGCACGTGCTGGCGGCCGAGGCCCTCACCGCCGCCAGGGGCTACGTGGCGGTGAGTCCCCCGCGGGCTGCAGGCAGGTCCCCATCCCTCGGAGACGCCTGGCTCACACGCGTTTCTCTCCAGCTCAAGATGGCAGGCAGGCAGGACTGTAGGCCTAGGGACACATTAAGGGAGGGAGGGGGGGGGTCGCTTTCCAGAGCATCAGGAGCTCCTGGCAGTGACCCCGTGAGGTAGGTGGCGCTGATCTCAGAGCACCAGTCACCAAATGTCAGCCTCTTATATACACCGTCACATTTCATCTTTATGGCAGCCGAGAGGGAGACCCCTTCCCATTTCCCAGATGAGGGACCGAGATGCAGAGAGGCTGAGTGACTCCATCGGGGTCACACAGCTAGTCAGCCCCAAATTCAAAGGGAATTGCCCAGGTCTGTCCCCAGGGCAGAGGTCTGGCCATGACTCCTCCCTCCAGAGCTGCTCAGAACAGCTGGGGGGTTGGACAGGAGGTGGGCGGGTGCCTGACGGTCCCTCTCCCCTCGTGTCCCCCTCAGAGTGGGCAGGCGTACTACATCAATGACGGGGAGAGTGTCAACATCTTTGAGTGGATGGCCCCACTGGTAGGTGCCCAGACGCCCCTCCCCCCGTGAGATTTCGGGGATCCCCGCCTCTTCTCTCCCTTCTCTCCCTTTCCTACTTCCAAAACAATCAGATTTCACATTCAAAACCAGCTCTGGAACCAGCATCCACTGAGTGACACTGGAACTAACTGGAGCTGGGCGGTGGCTGCCCCTTTGGGGGGCCATGTGCTCCCCCCGTTTGCCGTAGTCCCTCCAGCCTGCTTCCCGGTGGATGCTGACTGCTGGCCCTGTGGCATTTTGCTTGTGACCCACCGCATTATGGGGTGACACTCTGGAAGAGAACCCCCCAAAACATTCCCTTCTATAGATACAGCATATTTTGTTTGTCCATTCATCAGTTAATGGAAATGTGGGTTTTCTTCCCCGGGCCTGTTGTGAATCATGCTGCTGCAGACACTGATGTGTAAGTTTCCGTGTGCTCACACGTGCTCGTTTCTCTTGGGCGTGGGCACGAGGACACGTAGGAGTGGGCATGCCGGGCCATGTGGTCCCCCCACGTTTAGCCTTTGGAGGACCCGCCGGACTGCTTTTCAAAGCAGCTGCACCGCTTTACATTCTTGCAGACTGAAAGAGGGTCCAGTCTCCCCACATCCTTCTTGGCCCTCGTCACTGTCGTTTTCATGAAAACAAAGGCCTCGGTTCATCCTGTGCCAGCCCAGGTCTTCACGCATCTCCCACCCCCCTCCACACATATGCTGTGTTTTTTTTCTTTAATAGCAATTTTAGAAAAATCAGGTTCTACGTACGTGCCTTGGAGTATCAATGGGCATAGGCAGATGTAAACAAAAACTAAATTTGGTGAACGAGCCCAGGTTAAAAACCCACCCCTGGCATTCTGTTCCTACCTGAGGTTTCATTTCGAGAAGGCACAGGCTCGGGGCTGGCTGCAGGGTCTGTCCCCGTGGGAGGGGCTGGGAGGGGGTGGGAGGTATCTCTGTGGGCCCCAGGGGACAGGAAACGGGGTCTTCCCATTCCGGCCCCCGAAGAACCTGTTCTCATCTCAGGCCGTGTTTCTTTACAGTTCGAGAAGCTGGGGTACAGCCAGCCTTGGATCCAGGTGCCTACTTCCTGGGTCTACCTGGCAGGTAAGGAAAAGGGGTACATATAGTAGAAGCCCTCCACGTGCCAGGCGTACATGTGTCACCTCATCACAAACCAGGGCCAGGGCTAGATGGAGGCGCATGGTCACTGAGGGCACATTTAAGGAGACCCTCACCCCCAGGGCCCAGGGGCTCCAAGCCCATTCAGCACTGCCTGGCTGGACAGCAAATGCCTCCTCCCCTCGCCCTAGTCCAGGCCCCGCCCCCCGTAAGCTCTATTCCTCTATCCCACTTGCGAGGTGGGTATGACTGGGCCCATCGCAAAGACGTAGCAACCCGGGCTCTGAGCGAGACATGAGCTGCCCACGATGCCACGGTGAGAAGCATGACGGGCAGAGTTCACAGCCCTATGGCCTGTGCTGGAGGGCGCGGCCAGTCAGCAGGAGACGGTGCCCTGGGGCTGCCGCAGCCCTCAGGGTCACCCCGAAGTTAAGGCTGCTTTTGGACCCGTGGGGGTTCTGTTTTGACCCTAGATTCTCCTCCTCGCCTTGACGGTCAGTCTCTACCCACACCCCCCAGCATCCCTCTGTTGGACCCCCTCCAGCTGGAATGCTAAGCGGGCATCAGCCATGTGGTGGTCAGCCCAGGGGACTGGTGGCCCTCAAGTCACAAATAGCTATGCTCTTGGAAAACCTCGGCTGGATCTGTCGTATTTTAAATGCCCTGGGAAGCTTGCCATTTAAAGCGGGGGTTTGCAAACATTTGTCCGCCGGGCACGCGAGCCAGATGCCTTCTGCACAGAGCTGCCATAGTGACTGATGCTCCATGCCTCCAGCTGGGAAAAGATCGGCCATGGGTTCTGGCAGCTTTAGAGGATTAGATATAATTTCTTGGCTCCCAGGGACTAACTATAACGCAGAAGTTCTTCACCTGGCTGCACACTAGAAGCACCTGGAAGCTTTTAAAATATACAAACACTTTGGCCAGTCCCCAGACCGATGACACCCGTGGGAAGCGAGGGGAGGGAGGGAGCGTCGACATTTTTTTTAAGTGGTCCAGCGTGCCGCCCAGGTAGAGAACCACTGCACCAGCTTCTCTCTCCTGCTCCAGAGAGCATATCAGAATCGGGGTGAGGTGGACCTTACGATACAGATACCTTTGAATCTGCTCAGTCTGTCCTTTGCTATGAGAAACAACTTACCTGTGACACATTTTGCAGCCAAACGAGGCACCCCAGCGTGTGCCGAGAAACGGCTGATTTAAAGGAACCCAAGGACAGGAAAACTCGGCTGAGTGAAGACTCCCCCTAGCAAAGCAAATAGCGCCCCCAACTGAGCATCCCCGAGTGCTCCGCGGAGCTCATAGAGGGCAGGCCCCCCTGGTCACCGGTCCCTCTCCCCACACAGCCGCCCTGATGGAGAATGTGCACCTGGCACTGAGGCCCATCTGCAGCCTCCCCCCGCTGCTCACCCGGAGCGAGGTAAGTGGGCCACTGCTGGGGGAGCCCTGCACCCTGGTGCCCCCTCGCCCGCCCTCCCGCCCCTTTGCCACCCCTTCCTGCCACATCCCATCACCCCTTTGACACCATAGCTAGATGCCTGAGGTCTCAGAACCTTCCGTGTGGGCCCAGATCTAGGGCTACCTCCCGGATGGGTGTCCAGCCTCTGGGCTTCTGCTTACGCTGTGCTCGCTTGGTCCAAAATGTGACAGATCCGAGCCCATCGTCATCACTGCCGTTTCATGCACAAGCCAGACTGGAGGCTCCAAAAAGCAGGTTCCGTGACATCACTCCCCACCAACCCTGCCAGCTCTACACACACACACACACACACACACACACACACACACACACTCGTGCACACACATATAGAGCCTGGTGGTTCTAGGTTCACCATCCATGCTTTCCAAACAATAAGTGTACATTAAGTAACTCTTCTGTACAGAATAGTTTTCTCAAATAATGATGCAGTTCCCTATTTGCATATACAGTTTAGAAGAGGGGATGTTTTACTGCAGATTGTAAACGTCACTGGGGTTTGGTGTTATTTGCCAAATCCTTCCAGCCCCCTCCCTCCTTCGATTCTCTCTGACGCCCTGGTAAGTTAGGAAGGGCAAAAACGTATATGCTCTCACTCTCTGATGGGAAACTGAGCACTAGGACGGTCAGCAACGCGTCCAAGCTCACACTGCCTGGGTTCGATTTCGAGCTCCATGCTCGGTGCTGTCCGCTGGGGGCCTTCCTTGCCCAGCTCAGCGGCAAAGCATCCTCAGCGAGCTGCAGATTTCTGTGCAGTGTGGCTCGGGCGCCCTCTGCTGGTCAGTCTATGACACACCAACCAGCCCTCTAGTTTGACTTCAAGGCCTTTCATTCATGCAGCGTGCATTGAGCACCTGCACTGTGCCAGGCACCGTGCGGAGCCACGGACGCAAGACGTGGTCTTTAATCCGGTGAGCTCACAGTCCCAAGGGGAAGACGACCCAGTGACCCAGCAGCTCAGCACACGCTGATAAGGGCTACTCTAGGGGAGGTTAGGAGGGACGTTGGAGCACAGTTCTGAGGAAGTAAGGGGGTCTCCCGAGAGGAGGTGACATCTAAGCCCGAGATCTGAGAATACTGCGTTCCAGGGCTCTGCTTATCTAGGTTAGTCTACCAAAACCCTGCACTTACTCGCTGGATCAGAAAGGGACCAGAACTGGCCTCTGTCCTCCCGCAAGCATCCGAGGACAGGGGCGTAACTCCAGGGGCCTGTTTCTGTGCCATGGAAGAATCAAGCAGCTAGTGGACCCCTTCCAAGGTCCGGCGGAGGACAAAGTGAGTCAGGCAGGAGGGCATCCTCCTGGCCCCAGCACAGCACGGAAGAGCAGGAGCTGCAGTCCAGCTCCCCTGTGTGGCCCTCAGCAAGTCACTTAACCTCTCTGATCTCCAGTTTTCAGATAGGTAACGAGGAGATGGGATGGTACCACCTCAGAGGGTTAAATGAGATAAGGCCTGGAAAGGGTTTATAGCTCAGGTCAGGTACTGAGTGAGCTCTGAACGGATAGCTGCTTTATTTACCCTTGAGCCTGCGGGCTCCAGGCCATCTGGCAGCAGAAAACGCCGCTCAAACCCTGGAGAGTAATCGCTTCTGCGCAACTGAATTCCTGTCTGGGGGAAGCTCGGTGAATGGCTGAGGGCTGAGCTGAGCCCTGGGGCCCGCCTGGCCGGCCTTACTCTGGGGCAGGAAACCAAGAGTGTTTCCTGAGGCATTTTCCAGAGATCTGCACCCAGGCCATAGCGCGGACACCCAAGAGCGTATCAAGGGCCTCCAAGGTCAACGTGCTGGGCCAGGGAGGGGAGTGCAGAGGTGGGGCCTTTGCTTTGGGGGCGGGGAGGACTGAGTTCAGTAGGGTGGGCGAGATGCAGAAAAGGCATCCTGGAGGCAGCGCCCCCCCAAGAAAACGAGATGCGAGACGGGAAGGAAGCCCTCCCCGACGCAGGAGCAGGACCCCGCACAGGCGTGCGAGGCGGCTTTCCCACCCGCACCAGTCCCGCCGCCGGCT